CAGGGAAGGCTTCCCAGACCACGTTCAGACCCTGTCAGACCTTGTCTCAAAGAAACTCTCTTCCTGCATAGGAGTTACCTCTGTGGTAACTAATCAACTGTGTGGTCATTTTTAGGTGTCCCTCCTTCACTGAACTAGGAAGCCCATGAGGATAGGCTGATTCAGGGCTGTGCCCAAGTCCCATAGGATACTGCCTCAAATTTCACAGGCATTCAATAAAGGAATAAACAGTATCAAATTATATCTACTATTTTATGTCTGTTCGATGTTGCTCAACATGTCAACATAATTTTACTTTAAGTGTTGCATATATAATGTTTCTATATTATTTATAAACAATTTAAGGCAGATATCAGTCCAAGGTCTGATCAAGTATTCCATGGTACTAGCTGACTCTTGCAGTCCTGTGATGGAAGCACAACATGTGATGGAAGAATTAAACTGCTAGTTTAGCTCTTATAAGAGCTGAATGAGTCTCTGAAAGTGGCTCTCAGGCCTGAGCCTAACAGTCAAGTGAAACTTGGCATCACACTGCAAATGCAACAGTCGGTCAACTTTATTTCTTCCTAGCTACTTTATTAGCAATTAAACTATACTATGGCAGTGGCTTGGTTGTAGGGTTATGGGGTTATAAATTATGGGACTACTATGATGATGGGTCATAGTTCACAGATTTTAGTTCTTACAGATAGAGTTAAAATGAGATAAGGACATTTTTGGTTAATTTTTGAGTGTAAGAGAACTATTTATTAATAAGTTATCTAATATTAGTAATAATATTCATAAGCAAAAACCAATTTTTTACTCTCATAATGAATGTTGTCACCTATAAAAACACTTTCACAATATGATACCATTATATGCAGAATCTAAAAAAATGATACAAAAGAACTTATTTACAAAGCAGAAACAGACCCACAGACTTAGAGAACAAACTTACGGTTACCGGGGGTGAAGGGATATATTGGGAATTTGGGATTGACATGTACACGCTGCTATATTTAAAATGGATAACCAACAGGACTTCCCTGTGGTCCAGTGGATAAGACTTCACGTTTCCACTGCAGGGAGTGCGGGTTCGATCCGTGGTCGGGAAACTAAGATCCCACGTGCCACGCGGCATAGCCAACAAGGACCTATGTATAGCACAGGGAATTCTGCTCAATACTCGTATTAACTTAAATGGAAAAGGAATTTGAAAAAGAATAGAATGTATATGTATAACTGAATTACTTTGCTATACACCTGAAACTAACATGTTATTAATCAACTATACTCCAATAGAAAATAAAAAATTTTTTTAAACTAAAATAAATAAATAAAAACACTTTCACAGATATTTCATTTTACTTCCATAACAATTCTCTGAAATGAATAAGAATTATATTCCCCATCTTACAGAGAAGGTAAAGCATGTGACCAAAAGTCACCCATCTAGTAAATGGAAGAGTAAGATGCTAAACCCAGACCTCCTAGCGTTGAGCTTTAAATTCTTTCTTCTAGGTCACATGGCCCTTCAGTATTAGACTATAACTGAAAAATAAAAACCCAGGTATAATACTGTACCTTTCTTACTCTTCATTTTTCTCTTCAATTTCCTTCAAATACCTGAATCTTCATTTTAGAGTCCAAACTAAACTAAATTAAACTAAACGAAACCTTTGTAGCTCCAGCTTCAGTTTAAGGGGTTGAGGAGAGAAACGATTTGCTATTGCTCCTTTCTACAGCCTGCTGCTGAAATAATTATTCAGAAAGTCCAACTCTCTTATCTTCAGAAATCTCTGCCATCTTGACTTTACGCATGCCAGAAGCCCAAAGAGACAAAATTAGAAACGCGTAGTGCATCTGTGTTTATTAGCATAAGGTTTTATTATCTCTTCCTAATCAATAAACTTCTATTATCTCTTTGCCTTTTGAAGCTAGAGCTCCTGTTATGTGGCATTCCAACATCCCTTAGCAACCCTTACAGACCCAGAAATAACTACAAAACTTTGAAAGAGCACGGATTTTAAGCGCAAACCAAACAGAACATTCTTAAAAGCAAGCAGAATCTAACGAGGTTTTTTAAACAAAGGTATAAAATGATTTTATCGCTCATTAAAACAACAAACATCTCAGTTATAAAACAGGAAATGTTTATTTGGGCAGATATTACTTAATATATCTATATCAAATCATCTGGTGCAGAACCTATGAAAAGAATGCTTTTGAAGACTGTCTGGAAAACACCCACTTTCTAAAGGTTACCTACATATAAGCCAAAATAGCACTAAGAAATGGTTACAAATTGGTTCACTTCCTAATCTCATATAAGTGATACAAGAAAAATCTACCCCTAGGTATAAGCCCAAGATAAATGAAAACATATGTCCGCACAAAAACTTGAACATGAAGGTTCAGAGCAACATTATTCGTAATAGCCGAAAGATGGAAACAACTAAAATGTCCATCAATTGATAAATGGATTTTTTTAACGTGGTAAATCCATACAATGGAGTATTATTTCACCATAAGGAATGAAGTACTGATAGATACTAAAACGTGGATGAACCTTGAAAATATTATGTGGAGTGAAAGAAGCCAGTCACAAAACCCACATATGGTCATATGAAATGTCCAGAATAGGGGAATCTATAGAGATACAAAGTACATTAGTGGTTGCTTAGGGCTGGAGCACAGGGAGACAGAAAGATGGGATGGTGACAGCTAAAAGGGAATAGAGTTTCTTCTTGAGGTAATGAAAATGTTCCAAAATTGACTGTGGTGATGGTTGAAATTACCTGTGAATATATTAAAAATTACTGAATTACACATTTTAAATGGGTGAATTGTATGGTGTGTAAATTAAATTTCAATAAAGTGATAAAAATGTTTAAATGAATATATAAATAAACCCCATTAAAGCACTGTTTTAATAGCACCCTGCCTCTTCTCAGAGGCCTCTAAGCTCTGAAGCACTTAAAAATGGGTTTTAAACTTATATTAGCATTCCACCCTGAGATTAAAAGGAAATATTCTTCACAGTGTGTGAGCCATTCCACACAGTGTTCTGAGAATGAGAATGTTAAAAATGACAGGGGGGCTTCCCTGGTGGCGCAGTGGTTGCGAGTCCGCCTGCCGATGCAGGGGACGCGGGTTAGTGCCCCGGTCCAGGAAGATCCCACATGCCGCGGAGCGGATGGGCCCGTGAGCCATGGCCGCTGAGCCTGCGCGTCCGGAGCCTGTGCTCCGCAACAGGAGAGGCCACAACAGTGAGAGGCCCGTGTACCGCAAAAAAAAAAAAAAAAAAGACGACAGGGTTATGACTGAGGGAGCGTCTACCAGACAGACCCTCCCAGACATAACAACTATAAACTCTGGACAAAACACAAAAAAGCAACGACCCGACGGTACTGGAAAGGAAACAAAAGCAGGCCAAGTCTGGGGGGGAGGCGAGTCCTGGAAGAAGAGAGGGGCAGAGGCGAGTTTCAGGGTTTTGTCCTGCCTTTAGCCGGAGAGCAGGCCAGAGCTGGCACCACGTGGAGCAGGGCGATTAAAACCCCAATAGAAAACATGCAGACTTCCTGGGCCGAGGCATTTTCTGTCCTCTTCTTACTTGTCACCCTGTGACCTCTGACCATCTCTCTGCCTTTGGCTTCTGTGGAACCCAGCATTTCCTGGTTCCTTTCCTTCTTCTCCAACAACACTTCCGGTATCTCTTGATGCTTCCTCTTTCCTTGTCTCCCCTAAACACCGGCATCCTCCAGGGCTATGTCCAAAGATTTTTTTTTTTTTTTTTTTTTGCCGGTACGCAGGCCTCTCACTGTTGTGGCCTCTCCCGTTGCGGAGCACAGGCTCCGGACACGCAGGCTCAGCGGCCATGGCTCACGGGCCCAGCCGCTCCGTGGCATGTGGGATCCTCCCGGACCGGGGCACGAACCCGTGTCCCCTGCATCGGCAGGCGGGCTCTCAACCACTGCGCCACCAGGGAAACCCATATGCCCCCAGCTTTTAATCAGTGCCCTTTCTCCTAACAGTTCATCTACTCGCGCTGCTTCCACTGAGACTCCCACATTCATAACTGCACTCAGGCTCCCTTCTCAGCTTCCCTTCTGGATAGTTCCAGCGGGGTGAGAGTTAAATTCTAAAGTCAGCACAGAAGCCAGAAATCACACAGACTCACCATTTCCCTTGAAATTCCCTTAGGAAGGTAAGGTGTTGGACTCTTACAGTCCTCCATTTCTTGGCCCAGCTTGCACTGCTGAACTTGCTCACCATAAATGCCCTTAAACTATGATTTCACTGTATTTCGTTGTTCCACAAGTCTCTCCAACTTAACATGTCCTAACTGAACTTCCAGCCTGCCCTCCATCTACCTGCATCCCTCTCCTCCGCCTTTACTTCCTACGTTAACAGGTGGCACCAGAATCAACCTTGGTTGCCCAAGCTAGAAATCGGAGAGTCAACCTTGACTTCTCTTTCTCTCTCATGCCAAAATCCAATCTGTCTTGATTTCCGTTGATTTTAGTGCACCAAATGCTTTCATCTAAGCCCTTATCATCTTTTACTTAGATAATCGCCAGTCTCCAAATTGTCTCCCTGCCTTCATTTCTTTATGCCTCCAGCCCCCTATAGTGTATCCAGGTCTTTTGTCTTTTGAAAATGCAAATACAATCAGATTTCTCCCCGCTGGGAAAGATCCTCCAATGGTAAACCACCACCCAGAGCAGTAGAAACAGCTCTTGGGCTTCCCTGGTGGCGCAGTGGTTGAGAGTCCGCCTGCCGATGCAGGGGACATAGGTTCGCGCCCACGTCTGGGAGGATCCCACATGCCACAGAGCGGTTGGGCCCGTGAGCCATGGCCGCTGAGCCTGCGTGTCCGGAGCCTGTGCTCCGCAATGGGAGAGGCCACAGCAGTGAGAGGCCCGCGTACCGCAAAAAAAAAAAAAAAGTAACAGCTCTTATAAATCATGCTAATTTTAATTTTAACTTCATTTATCTTTAATAATGGCATCACTTACCAACAAAGGACAGCAGGATCACCAGCAGGACAATGAGAGCACAGATACATGGAATCAGGACCAGCAATAGGAAACGAAGAATATTCACAGTCGCCAGCTTCTGAGAGCAATCATCACCCATGGTATCACCATCTGCTCCCAAGACCTAAAGTAGGAGAGGAAAATGAAACATGGTTTTAATATTACAAAGCAACTCAGTACATGGTATGACATTTTAGAGTACAGCTATCCATTTAGAGAAGCAGCATTCCTAAGAGATTTTCCTCCGTGCATTTTACAGCATGAAATGAGGTTAGTCACCAAATCACACTAATAAATGAACAAATAACTACAAATCACATTCAGGGAAGAGCAAATCATCTATTTCTGAAATGTTTTTCAGGAGTATATGAACTTATAACGATATTCCATCTTGATTTTTTTTTAATGTATCTGCTAATTTGGTATTATTCCAAAGGGCTGTTCTTACCATGGCAAGAACTCACCTTGACCTAGAACTCTAAGCAAAGAGTGCCTAATACAGTGATAAAATACTGGTGAGTAGTTGTGGACAGGGCATTATCCAGATTTCATTCTTGTTTTGCTCATTAGTCCTAACCCAAATCTGCATGAATCGAGATCAAATACGTTTTTAACCATTAATAATTCAGCAAGATTGAATATTACTGACCATGTATCTAGTGGCAAGTTGAACAGTGAAAAAGAGCCTGTTCTGTTGGCCACTGACAGGATGCCCTCCACTGTCCACACTGCCCCTGCAGCCCATCCATTTGTGAGAGAATGATGAGATGCAACGGAGTTGGTTCAACGAGACAAAGTTCTTGTCTTCAAATTCTTTAAATTTTGCTTAGGTCAGTCTCTTGCCAGAAACAATGTCTGGATATTCATTTATTGCAACTGGCTTAGGGGAGTAATTTTTTCAACAGAGATGGAATTAAAAGTGATTTGAGTCACTATGAGCAACTCTTCTGATCCCATTAATGAAGATGTTTCTCATGGTTCTCTCTTGGACTTCTGACTCTCCTTGCCTTTCCTTCTCTGACAGTTTCAGAGCTTGAACTACAACCTTGGTGTACCCAGCTCTCGAATCTCTTGAGTCCTGAACTTCCTTTCAAGTTAGATCATATATTTCTGATGCCTAGTACATAGCATCATCTCTTCTCAACATGTCCAAAACCAAACTAATCTCCTTCTTTATCCATTACCTTCAAACTAGTTCTCCTGACTTCCATATTTGTGCTAAAACAAACTCCACTATTCCTATAACCTCGAGACTCCGGACTTTTCCATCATCCCCCCATGCTATTCATTACCAAGTTTTGTCGGTTCTTCCTCTGTAAGAAAAATCTAATTTTTTAAATTGAATGACCTTTGAGAAAGAGCTTTATCAAAATCAAGAAGTTGTCCTAACCGATGATCCTGCATTTGATCTTTTCTGGTATATAACCAGTACCTGATAATTTCCCACAGATAAAAAGGCAACTTTGATGAGTTCTTCTGAATTGCAAAGCATATGTGATTCTCCATTTCTGCTTTATTCCTCCTACATCAAAATGAGTTCTGGTTCACTAACACATATTGCAAGCAGTATTCACTACATACACTGATGTGATGACACCCTCCGTAATTTTAAGAATTCTCCGTGGGAGACATTATTTGAAAGAACGTATGCTGTTAGCTTAAGAATGGCTTGATTTCCTAGATTAATGTCTTTACTGACCCATTCCCTTTGAACCTGGTTTAATTGACCAGCCAACGTGAGTTGATTCAGAGTTAATTTACAATTAAGTGGCAGGAGGAGGTCATGGAAAGGACGTGACCTACCAGTTGAACCATGAGCTGGAGTCAGGCAATCAGAGGCTCCTCACCCCCTCTTCTGTCCTTAGAATGTATGTTACACCCACTGTTCCCACAGCCAAAGCCATTTTCAAGGACACAGCCTTGAGAGAGCAATGCGCTGTTGAGACCATCTGGATGGTATACATGACTGCATCCCGTTATGTCTTCTATATAAACTCTTAAGATTCTGGCAGGCATGGAGCTCTAATCACCTTGCAGCTGTCCAAGACAAACCTTGCATGTAAGTTCCCTTGCTTATTAAAACTGCCATCTACCAATCTGGAGTCATCTGCCTCTTTCTTCAGTCTCTCCTTGCCTTCCGTATATGAGGGTCAGTTTCAGATTTCACCAAAGTGATCTAACACACTGATACAATATAATATAAGATCTGCTGTAGCACATTGATTATAACACCAGCATTGGGTGGGTGGTACCCTTTGAGGCTTGGATATAACATTTACCTGTAAAAAGCCAGTGTGGGGCTTCCCTGGTGGAGCAGTGGTTAGGAATCCTCCTGCCAATGCAGGAGACAGAGGTTCGAGCCCTGGCCTGGGAAGATCCCACGTGCCGTGGAGCAACTAAACCAGTGAGCCACAACTACTGAGCCCGAGTGCCACAACTACTGAAGCCCGTGTGCCGCAGTGAAGAGTAGGCACTGCTCGCCACAACTCGAGAAAGCCTGCGTGCAGCAACGAGGACCCAATGCAGCCAAAAGTAAATAAAATAAATAAATTTAAGGCCACACATAGATAAGGAAGTAAGGGCCATAGACCAAACCACAGGTCTAATGGCGACCCAGGATAAACCACACAGAACCTGTGTGGAGTCCAACAGAGCCCCAGATGTAGTTCAGGAACCAAGAGGTCTTTCAAGATCAAACACAGCCCTAAAAAAAATTATAAAAAATAAATTAAAAAAGCCAGTGTGGAACTACAGCTCAACAGAAACAGTAGTAGAACTGACTTATTTACTTCATTTACTCAACAAGTAGTTATTGAACACCTACTAATTATAATAAGCATAGTGATGGATATAATAACGATTTAAGACCAACTGTCCCTCCAAAGCTCACAGTCTTGTAGGAGAGATAAGATATGTATGTAAATAACTACATTTCGAGGTAGCAAATGATAAGCACCATGAGATTTATAGGAATTCAAAAGATAGGAATACGATTTCTTGCTGGAGGATCAGTTAAGACATTGTAGGGAACCAGCACTTGAACTAGCCATGATTCTGAGAAAAGTATCCCTGAAAAGCCCTGTTACAGCTTAAAAGAGTGGTAAAATACATGCAGAGAGGTAAAGAGTTATGAACTTTCTTTGGCTTCCACAACAATGGAAAAGCTTTCTTGGTTAAGGTGGGTGGTCACAGGAGCACTATAGTGATAATCTTCTTGGGTGGCAGATGCACAACGGCCTCAGTGCTATGTGGAATCCTGTGTCCAAATACATCTCATTTAGCATTCATAAGAGAAGAATCAGTAGGGAACGTGCTAGAGGCTCATTTTAATATCTTATATAAGTATACCAACAAGTATTTGACCTCCAGGAACCATATTCATGATTAGTGCAAATGCTTTCTCCAATAACTAGGAAATTGATTCCTTTTATGAAGGGGAGAAGAGGAAGACATACTTACAAGAAATTCAGAACTAAGAAATACTTGGAAGAAATCTCAGCACTTTCCTCAAGTGCGTAACTTTTCTCTTGCACTCATGGCCACTTAAGACTATTGCTATAAATGCTGCATTATTCAGAGGCCCTTTGAGGTTCCTCTGAATATAACGCAACTCTCAGACTTTACTGTTGGGTGAATAATGCCAGATGAGATAAACTGCTAGGACAATTCCTAAGCTTCATTTCAGTGGACTCAACAACCCTCTCTCCAGAAGGTACCCTCTTCCAGAATCTACCCTCCACATACTTGAAACCGTAAGCTAAGCACAGGCACAAGCATTCCATGGTGCAGGCAGGGAGCAATGCATCTTGTTGACCTGCACATATTTCAAATATGTGGTTCTCATGTTTCATTAATCCTGTTGGTGAAAACTCATTTCTTGTGTCTTAAGAACTACATTGATTTTTAAAGGTGTCGTGTTGGCTTATGTAACATATATGGATACAATCTACCCGACTGGGACATCTCCTTGAGTCATTGGTTCCATTGGGAGACCTTCTCATCTGTCTCTTGTACATTCTTTATTGTGCTTGCCTCCTGGCTTAGTGATTCAACTTTTTTTCACAACAGCCATTCTCTCTCTCATTTTTAAATATACAGTTGGTTTACAATGTTGTATTAGGTTCAGATGTACAGCACAGTGACTCAGTTATACACACACACACATATATATACACATATATATTCTTTTTCAGATTCTTTTCCATTATAGGCTATTATAGAATATTGAGTAGAGTTCCCAGTGCTATACGGTAGCTCCTTGTTGGTTATCTATTTTATATATAGTAGTGTGTATATAGTAGTGTGTAATCCCAAACTCCTAATTTATCTCTCTCCCCCTTCCCTTTTAGTAATCATATGTTTGTTTTCTATGTCTGTGAGTCTATTTCTGTTTCGTAAATAAGTTCATCTGTATCATTTTTTTAGATTCCACATATGAGCAATATCATATGCTATTTGTCTTTGTCTGACTTCACTTAGCATGATAATCTCTAGGTCCATCCATGTTGCTGCAAATGGCATTATTTCATTCTTTTTTATGGCCGAGTAATATTCCATTTTGTGTTTGTGTGTGTGTGTGTGTATCACATCTTCTTTATCCATTCATCATGACAGCCATTCTCTGAGTCTTTCAGGACCTACTGTCCATTGATCCCTCTATCTTCTCCCACTTGATCAACTCTCTCCTTTCTTCATTTCTCTATATATCTTTTTAAAAATCTTTGGACCATTATTTCAGTGATACTCTTGCTGATGTCCTGAACCCCCTTACCCCTCTGGATTTTCTTCTCACCTATCTCATAAAAGCCAACATGAGATGAATCCAACAATCTTCTCTCTCTGTATCTACACTTGGACAGTTGAATGTGGCTGTAAAAAGTCACGCAACAGGACTACTTGATTGCTAATTTAAAGTCTTTTCTATTCTCCTCAAACTATCTTTTCCCACTCTTCTGCCCTCACTTTCAGAAGAGGATCCACCCCTATTCCCACCCTACAGAGAGAATAAAAACCATCAAATGGGAATTGCCTCACCTACCTAAATTTCAGCACACACACCTGCTCATTTATAGACCCTTCTCTCCTGTAGAGATGCTATTTAAGACTCTTCCTATTCAA